ACAATGGCTGAGAGTTCCTTCCAAATAAATCAAGGTCGAATCTCCCCTCCAAAGCAGAGAAGTTCTAGAGTAGCAGTCATTGCACATGCCTAACTTAACCATAAAATAAAAGCCGAAATCTCTTTGTTACCTCAGTTGTATTATTTTCTTTTTTTGTTTTCTTGAGACAGAGTCTCGCTCTGTTGCCCAGGCTGGAGTGCAATGGCACCATCTCGGCTCACTGCAACCTCTGCCTCCCAGGTTCAAGCAATTCTCCTGCCTCAGGTTCCCAAGTAGCTGGGATTACAGGCGTCCACCACCACACCCGGCTAATTTTTTGTACTTTTAGTAGAGATGGGGTTTCACCATGTTGCCCAGGCTGGTCTCAAACTCCTGACCTCAGGTGATTCACCTGCCTTGGCCTCCCAAAGTGCTGCGATTACAGGCATGAGCCACCATACCCGGCCAATTGTAATATTTTCATTGGCAGCACCATATATGATGCTCAAAATGCTTTTTCTTTTTTTCTGTTTTGTTTTTGTTTGTTTGTTTGTTTTTGAGAAGCAGTTTCTCTCTTGTTGTCCAGGTTGGAGTGCAATGGCGCAATCTCAGTTCACTGCAACCTCTGCCTCCCGGGTTCAAGTGATTCTCCTGCCTTAGCCTCCCAAGTAGCTGGAATTACAGGCATGTGCCATCATGTGTGGCTAATTTTTGTATTTTTAGTAGAGACAGGGTTTCACCATGTTGGCCAGGGTAGTCTTGAACTCCTGACCTTAGGTGATCCACCTGCCTCAACCTCCCAAAGTGTTGGGATTATAGGCATGAGTCTCACTCTGTTGCCCAGGCTGGAGTGTAGTGCCATATGCTGGCTCACTGTAACCTCTGCTTCCCAAGTTCAAGTGATTCTCATGCCTCAGCCTCCAGAGTAGCTGGGACTACAAGTACCCACCACCACACACAGCTAATTTTTGTATTTTTAGTAGAGACAGGGGTGCACCATGTTGGCCAGGTTGGTCTTGAGCTCCTGACCTCATGTGATCCATCCATCTCAGCCTCCCAAAGTGCTGGGATTACAAACACGAGCTACCCGCCTGGCTATTACTACTTTTGTAAATAGAGATGGAGAGCTTGCTAGGTTGCCCAGGCTGGTCTCAAACTCCTGAATTCAAGTGTTCCTCCTGCCTCAGCTTCCCAAAATACTGGGATTACACCATGCCTGGACCACAAAATGTTTTGAAAATGTTCCATTGTGATATAGTATTGTGCACTCAAACTGTCATTCAATAGACAATGCAATTAAAGGCATAATTATTAAATTCAAGCAAGATCACAGAATTTTCAAAGGTAAGAGACTCAAAATCTGTCAAAACTTTTGCAGTTATCTTCAGAGGAAGCTGTTTAATTAGAAGGAAAAAAAAACTAAGCAAAAAGGAAAGCAACGTCCCAGTATTCTTCAATATACCTTAAAATTATACACACAATCATAAAGACAACATAGGTTAAGATAATTAACTAGCATTACGAAAAGCAGCCTGTTATCATAATGTTGCATTAACTACCCAAAGTAATTCAGAAGAATCCTAGATTCTGAATGTGAATAAGGCTGAGACTCAAACTTTATTGTGATGAAAACGGTATACAATGGAACGAATAAATGTATGCTACTGATTATTAATAAAATCTTTATGTTTACTTTCTGCCCGCTAAAAAATTGCTACTAAATAGATGGCTTATCTTAGAGTTAGTGGTATTTCAGAACTGAGAAAATATGATAGTTCAACCTCATTCCTTTAAATACCTTGATATTGGCCGGGTGCGGTGGCTGAAGCCTGTAATCCCAGCACTTTGGGAGGCCGAGACGGGCGGATCACGAGGTCAGGAGATCGAGACCATCCTGGCTAACACGGTGAAACTCCGTCTCTACTAAAAATACAAAAAACTAGGCCGGGCGCGGTGGCTCACGCCTATAATCCCAGCACTTCGGGAGGCCAAGGCGGGCGGATCACGAGGTCAGGAGATCGAGACCATCCTGACCAACACGGTGAAACCTCGTCTCTACTAAAAATACAAAAAACTAGCCGGGCGAGGTGGCGGGCGCCTGTAGTCCCAGCTAATCGGGGGGCTGAGGCAGGAGAATGGCGTAAACCCGGGAGGCGGAGCTAGCAGTGAGCTGAGATCCGGCCACCGTACTCCAGCCTGGACGGCAGAGAGAGACTCCGTCTCAAAAAAAAAAATAAATAAATAAATAAAAAATAAATAAATAAATAAATAAATACTTGATATTGAACTTCATCATGTATATGTACTATTTTTATTTTATTTATTTATTTTTTCGAGATGGAGCCTCACTCTGTCGCAGGCTAGAGTGCAGTGGTGCCATCTCGGCTCACTGCAACCTCCGTCTCCCGGGTTCAAGTGATTCTCCTGCCTCAGCCTTACAAGTAGCTGGGACTACAGGCGTGCGCCACCACACTCAGCTAATTTTTGTATTTTTAGTAGAGATGGGGTTTCACCATGTTGGCCAGGCTGGTCTCGAACTCGAGACCTCAGGTAATCCGCCCACCTTGGCCTCCCAAACTGCTGGTTACAGGTGTGAGCCACCACGTCTGGCCAGATGTACTATTATCTATAAATCCCTGACTGATGGACATTTAGGTTGTTCTTCATTTCTTTGCTAATGTAAAATAATACTGCAAACTGATAACTTCAATTATACTGGTAATATTCTAGTTCTGAGGACAGGTGGTAAGTTCATGGATGTTCATTTTATTATGCTTCATAGTTTAATAAAATGAACATATATATAATATATATAGCCTATTTCTTGCACATAACAAAAATTGTGAACAAAAAAAAAAATTGCTGCAATAAAAATTCTTGTGCACACATTGCTGAGCATTTTCCTTAAAATAAATTCCCAGAAGTGGAATTGCTGGATCAAAGAGAATACATATTTAAAATTGTAATATTTATCGTCAGACTGCCTTCTAGAAAGTTATACTAATTTTATAATCCCCACAACAAGGTATGGTTAATACTGGCATTACTAAATCTCAATAATCTTTGCTGCTATGACATGTGAAAATTCAAATTATTACTAGGCAAAGAGAATTTTTAAAATAATTCTTCAAAGCAAAACTGTTTACCTTTTTAACCCACACTACAATGGGGCCAGATTCATCTTAATAAACAATTCTGATCATGTCACCTACCTACTCCATAACTTTCAATGACTTTTAACCTCATGGTTAAAGTAAGAGCTCTGGAATCAAACTGCCTGGGTATGACAAATCGCCATTTTTTTTTAAAAAGGTTCAGACCCTCCTCAAAAATACAAACATCAACAAACAAGTATCACTGATTAGTTTGTCCAACTTAGAGGAAAAAAATGGTACCATTACATAAGATTTCAAAGTGTTAACTTGGGTTGAATTAAGTTTATCAGAAAAGTACCCTGGCTGGGTGCAGTAGTGCACCTGTAGTCCCAGCTACTTGAGAGGCTGTGGTGGAGGATTGCTGGAGCCCAGGAGTTGGAATCCAGCACAGGCAAGATAGCGAGTTCCCATCTTTAAAGGAAACTGCATACTGATATTTTCTTCAGTTCACTTTCTAATAATTGTCAGATCAAAAGTGAAAGCAACACTGTATCTTCATGCTGAAAAATGATTGCTGTTTCTACTTGGCGAAAATGTTATTCAATGACTAAGTAACTTTTGTGATGTATAACAATCTCCCATTAATATAAATAAAACATCTGAAATAACTAAACAACCAGGGTTAGAACCGTTCCAAAGACTATACAGAACAACAAGGACTTGCAATAAAAACAAAACAAAAATAAAAAAGACCTATACAATGAAAGCCAGATATTATACATTAAAAAATGTAGAAGTATTTTTTGGTGAGCAGCAAGGCATATTTAATCAATATTTAGGCACAGAATGCGCCATTCCAAGCATGGACCATGATCTAGTTTCTTGCAGTAGCAGCCAACTGGACTAACACAGTGCTACTTCTTTTACTGTTCAGTCAAATTCCTCCACTGCCTTAGGGAATCAACTACCCTACTTTACCGTCAGAGATAAGCTTCGTTTTCGTAGCAGAGAACATTCACTCCAATTATAATGTCCTAGCTTTTCTTCCTCATGGAGGAAATTTGATAAAAAATTTTAACCTTCAATAAATAATTCATAAAGGTCTGACAAGTTTCATGATCGCTAACATTCAAATCCATTTCCAAAACTGGAGTTATACAATATACTTCTGTGCATGAGATTATACTTATTGTTTACTAGATTTATGAATAACTTCTGGAGGACGATACATGTTTTAAAAGTCGTATTAACATATGAGTTGGCAAACATTAAATTTTGTTCCCTTAGAAATTGACAGAGAAGTCAGAACAGTGATAAATCAAGTCATCTGAGAGTCACTGTTCCCTTAATTGTCGTTCTTTCATTTGCTGTATTTATATACACACTGCTACTCCATAAAGACTTCTCCATCTTTCCCACCACTTTCAACTAAGAACAGTAACCTAAAATCACACTGAACTAGACATAACAGACTCCAAGGATTTCTCCAAGGTATACCCAGGATCACGGCCCTCTGGGATTCAAAGAACTGTGGCCCTTTTACTGCAATTTTCCTTCAGAACCACCTTTCCCGTTCCTTCCCTCCTGGACACCGCCGACTCGCGTGTTGGGGGTGGGGTGGGAGACCGTCGGCGCAAGGCCGGCAGCAAGACAGGCTCTACCCAGCCAAACCTGCACCTTCGAGGCCGAAAAGCCTGGGGCTCTTCCTGCAGCACCGGGCGCGGCCAACCCTCGCTTCCCCAGGGCAGGGCTCAGCTCGGGTCAATGCAACCAGCCAAGTCAGGCCCGGAGCGGGCCGGCTCTGCCCGCCAGTCCACAGCAACCTCTGGACCCTCGCCAGCGGGGATGGGCGTGGGCCCCGGCGGCCACCGCCCCGCCAACTCGAGCAAGGGAGGAGAGCACCCGCTACGCCGGCCCGGGACCTACCTGGAGGGGAGAGCAGAGCTCCTGGACAGCAGCCACGGGCCTGAGGGCGGACGCCGGGGCGGTCGGAGCCCGTCCCAGCAACCCCAAGTATCCCTGGTGGGGCAGAGCGGGGAGAGGAGCGGGCCGGCTGCCGCGGGCCAGCGCGACCCGTCGCGGGGGTCGCGAGGACCTGGCTCTCCTCTTAACACCAGGACACCGCCGCCGCCGCCATTTTGCCTTCCACTCAGTGTCGCCGCCGCCGCCGCACTCCGCTGCAGGTTTCCCGGATGTGGGCATTTCCCGGCGTCGCTTGCGCGGGGGCAGAGGACTAGGGGCTTCTGCCCGCCCGGCTGCTGCGAGGGAGCGCACAGCCAGCGGCCTCCGGGCCTCGTTGCGTCGCCCGCTGCTCTGATCGTTCGTGAGCGTCGCCCCATGTCGCTCCCGCCTGCCCCTGCCCAGAAGACTCGCCCGCGGCCGTGGGTTAAGGCTCTCTCCTGTCGATTCAATCCTTTTTCCCATTGATCTATTTCTCTGGACCGAGTAGGGATGCGCATTTCACGGAGCTACGTTCTCACAAGGGAACAACTGTGAGTCGTTCTGGGAAACCTTGCTGTGGACCTCAGAATTCGAGATTTTTGGCGCTTTGAAATAAAATTTTATTCTTGCTTAGCGTTCTTTCCCCGAACAAGCCTGTGAGCTTCCAGCATCTGTATTTTCTGAATCAGGCAGATAAGAAATTCTTGAGCCAGGACCGATTGATAGCAGCAGTTTAGAGATCTTATCTGTCGACCGCATCCGTAGAAGGAGGTGGTTATTGCCATAATTGGAGTAACGGTGACGGTGTGACAAGAGGTTTTACTTATGGTTAAACTGAATGTAAAGTGTGAGACGGGATCGTTGGGTTTCATGTATAAGGTACCGTCTACCCTTTGTGAAGAGCGCCTTTGCCAGTTTTTCCTCTAGGAAATATACAGCTGGCATTTTTAAGTACCTTCTTTCGTAATTTTTCTACTACAGACTATAAAAAAATTAAAGACATCTTTTTCTGACGTTAAAGTAGTAACTGGCTACTTACTGTATCCAGAAATCCAAATGTGAAAACCTGGTAAAATATGTTCCGGCCGGGCGCGGTGGCTCACGCCTGTAATCCCAGCACTTTGGGAGGCCAAGACGGGCGGATCACGAGGTCAGCAGATCGAGACCATCCTGGCTAACACAGTGAAACCCCGTCTCTACTAAAAATAAAAAAATTAGCCGGGCGTGGTGGCGGGCGCCTGTAGTCCCAATTACTTGGGAGGCTGAGGCAGGAGAATGGCGTGAACCCGGGAGGTGGAGCTTGCAGCGAGCCGAAATCGTGCCACTGCACTCCAGCCTGGGCAACAGAGCGAGACTCCGTCTCAAAAAAAAAAAAAAAAAAGATTACGTTCCAAGAATATTTGGTTGAAAGCCTATTTTCTACAAGCACAGAGTTTGTAGAAGGTAGACAATGTGACCCAAGGTGGGTCACTAAAGAGCTTACTTTCTTCAACGGAAGGGTGACCCATGAAAACGTTTTCAGCCCTAAAATTATATGAATTATAGGAATCTAATATGTCTACAGGTCTACTTGCCCTATCCAAAAGGATTCTGCATCTGGAAGAACAGACTGCCCCCAGAATCCTGTCACCTCTGTCATCAACCAATGGTATTCAATGCTCTCTAAACCTAAAGGAAAGTATCTCCACAAACTCTCGTCTTTGGGGAAATTCCTAGATAATTCAGGGAGCTGAGTAAATTGCTCTGTGTAGGACTAGGAGGCTTACTCCTGTGAAGTAGGGCCAGAGATGAAAGAGCAGGGAAAGGAGAGGTGCAATGATCAGCAAGAGAACAAACCGACGAGATGAAAAGCAGCAGGGACTGCAGGTGCGGAGAGTTCTGATGGTTGGGGAAATATTTACTGTGGGTGCTGGATGTGTGTGTGGGAATGGCGATATCTGCCATCGCATTTGCAGGTTTTTATATTATTGTGATGGAAGATCTTGGTCCAGTTTCAGCCTACTCAACTCTTCAGTGCTTCATGGAAATGGGGCTTTTTTGTTTTTAGCAATAGATGTAGAGTCCGATTTCATGCTTGGGTGACCTTAGAAAGGAAGGAGGGGGCAATGTACATGGAAGAAGTCTGGAGACCAGTGTGGCCCTGAGAACATAAACCCTTCCAGAAATTCATGCAATCTTAGGGTAAGACATCAGACTATGTGCCACCCACTCTTAAGGAATGGGGAGTTGTGCTCCATCATCTTGACTCTGTCTCAAATAAATAAATAAATAAAAGTGGAGAATTCAAACACATTATTTGAAATTCTGCAGATTTATCCCTTCTCCTTCATTTATTTATTCAAACATTTATTGGCCGGGCGTGGTAGTTCACACCTATAATCCTAGCACTTTGGGAGACCGAGGTGGGCGGATCACTAAGTCAGGAGCTCGAGACTAGCCTGGCCAACATGGAGAAATCTTGTCTCTACTAAAAATAGAAAAAATCGGCCGTGGTGGGCGCATGCCTGTAGTCCCAGCTACTCGGGAGGCTGAGGCAGGAGAATCGCTTGAACTCGGGAGGTGGAGGTTGCAGTGAGCTGAGATTGTACCACTGCACTCCAGTCTGGGTGACAAAGCAAGGGTCCATCTTACATAAAAATAAATAAACAAATAAACAAAAGAAAAACCCTTTATGTCAGTATGGCCTCATGGATATCTATTTTATGCTTTGGGTATTTATTTTGTTGCTCAAGTTGTTTCAGTTTTGGCCACTGGAGCTCTTTCAGTTGGTTTGTCGTATGTGTGTGTGTTTTTTAAAGAACTTTCTGCCCAGTTTGGTGGCTCACCCCCTTAATCCCAGCACTTCTGGAGGCTGAGACAGGAGAATCACTTGAGCCCAAGAGTTCGAGACCAGCCTGGATAACATAGCAAGACCTCATCTCTATAAATCAGCCAGGTGTGGTGGTACACAACTGTAGTCCCAGCTACTCAGGAGGCTGAGGCAGAAGGATCACCTGAGCCCAGGAGGCCAACACTGCAGTGAGCCAAGATCTAGCCACTGCACTTCAGCCTGGGTGACAAAGCAAGACCTCACCTTTAAAAAAAAAAAAAAAAGAACTTTCATATTTTCAGGCAGTACAAGATGCTCCAAAATCTCTTTTTTTTTTAGATGGGGTCTCACTCTGTCACCCAAGTGGAAGTGCAGTGATATAATTATGGCTCACTGCAGCTTCAACCCCCAGGACTCAGGTGATCCTCCTGCCTCAGCATCGGAGTAGCTTGGGATTACAGGCGCAGGCCACCACGACTGACTAATTTTTTTTTTTTTTTTGAGACCAAGTTTTGTTCTTGTTGCCCAGGCTGGAGTGCGGCAGTGCCATCTCGGCTCACCGCAACCTCCGCCTGCTGGGTTCAAACAATTCTCCTTCCTCAGCGTTCCTGAGTAGCTGGGATTACAGGCATGCACCACCATGCCCAGCTAATTTTGTAGTTTTAGTAGAGAAGGGGTTTCTCCATGTTGGTCAGGCTGGTCTTGAACTCCCGACCTCAGATGATCTGCCCGCCTCAGCCTCCCAAAGTGCTGGGATTACAGGCGTGAGCCACCATGCCCGGCATGCCTAATTTTTGTATTTTTTGTAGAGACCAGCTCTCCCTATGTCGCCCAGGCTGGCCTCGAACTCCTGAGCTCAAGTGATCCGCCCGCTTTGGCCTCCCAAAGTGCAGGATTACAAGCGTGAGCCACCACACCCAGTTCTCCAAGTTATCTTGTATATTTCTTGCCCCAGTTCAGGGATCACCATTCCCCCAAGGCTCCCTGGTTCCTTTTATTGGAATATAGTATAAGAAACCAAATCTGGGTGCTAGATGTATGCCTTGCTACTGGTGTATCATGGATTCTAGGACCTCTCTGGCTAAGATTTTTTAAAGTTTATTCTACCCCTATAGAGGGGTAAAAACTCTTCTGATTTTTTTGCAGCTACAACATTTAAAAAAATATTTTAATTAAATTTAAATTTAATTTAGTTTTGAGTCATGCTGCCACCCAGGCTAGAATGCAATGGTTCACTCACTGCAACCTCCGCCTCCAAGCTCAAGCAATCCTTCTGGCTCAGCCTCCCAAAGTGCTGGGATTACTGGCATGAGCCACCTTGCCCAGCCGAACCTTATTTTAAATTAACATTATCTGATCAGCCAACTTCCAGTCATTCTACTTCTCCTGCACCCCCTGGAGTTTTCTGCCCTTTTTGTACACATTGAATGTAGGGAAATGTTGGGAACTGGCTCAATGCTAAGATGACTGTGGCCCAGGACCTCGCTGTTAATTGTTTATGCTGCCGTTTAACATTAATGGTAGGTCAGAATGATACCAATAAGGGTTCAAATAAAATAGTTGCATATCGTATATTGGGTCTCCCCAAGCTTCATATCTGTAAAACAAGAGCACGACTACTGTTTAGACCTTCATTTTTTTTTTGAAACAGTTTCGCTGGTTTCCCAGGCTGGAGTGCAATGGAACGATCTCCGCTCATCGCAACCTCTGCCTCCCGGGTTCAAGCGATTCTCCTGCCTCAGCCTCCAGAGTAGCTGGGATTACAGGCATGCGCCAATATGCCTGGCTAATATTCTATTTTTTTTTTTTTTTTTTTTTTTTAAGTAGAGATGGGGTTTCACCGTGTTGGTGTTGGTCAGGCTGGTCTCGAACTACTGACCTCAGGTGATCCGCCTGCCTCGGCCTCCCAAAGTGCTGGGATTACAGGTGTGAGCCACTGTGCCTGGCCCAATTTTTTTCTTTCTTTTTTTTTTTTTTTGAGATGGAGTCTTGCTCTATTGCCAGGCTAGAGTGCAGTGGCACGATCTCAGCTCACCACAACCTCCACCTCCTGGGTTCAAGCAATTCTCCTGCCTCAGCCTCCTGAGTAGCTGGGACTACAGGTGCCTGTCACCACGCCAGGCTAATTTTTGTGTTTTTAGTAGAGACGGGGTTTCGCCATGTTGGTCTTCAACACCTGACCTCAGGTGATCCACCCACCTCGGCCTCCCAAAGTGCTGGGATTACAGGCATGAGGCACTGTACCTGGCCAGACCTTCTGTTAGTCTGAGCTAGATACTATTGATACCATAAGCTTAACTAAAGGCTCGATATAAACTATATACTGTTGAATTTAGTATGCTTCTTGGACAAGAGTCTAGAGTAGATTATTAAAAGGATGTTTCCATAATACAATTAAATAGAAGTACTATTCACAAAGCACCAGGAATTTTTCAATTATGCCAAATTTTTGATAGTATGATAACTATAGCACATTGTCTCACAATAACCTTGTAAATAAGATAAATGGAATGAAACGTCAGTAATTAGGTTGTTATAAATATTTCAGTAACTGTAGCCAAATAGCAAAGATTCATGTTTCATTGATAATTGAGAAGACTCCAGCAGTGGGCCTAAGACCTTCATTTCATTTAACATCTTTCTGGCTGGGCATGGTGGCTCTTGTCTGTAATCCTAGCACTTTGGGAGGCCAAGGCAAGCAGATTGCTTTAGCCCAGGAGTTCAAGACCAGCCTGGGCAATATAGTGAAACCCCATCTCAATAAAAATTGCAAAAATTAGTCAGGCTTGGTGGTACATGCCTGCAGTCTCAGATTGGGAGACTGAGGTGGGAGGATCACTTGGGCCCAGGTCAAGGCTGCAGTGAGCCGGGGATCACACCACTGCACTCCAGCCTGGGTGACAGAGTGAAATCCTGTCTCAAACATCTTTCCTAATCAATGGGATGAAAGTGGAGAGAGCATGCTGGGCTAATTATGTAGAAAATAATAGCTTCTACAAAAGATTCAAAGAAAATTGTTATTCCTTTCCTATACTGAAATGAAATTTTTCTTAGAACAAGAAATATAGGCCCATATTAAGGATTAGAAACCATTTGATTAACTCCCAAATATAGGAAGTGTGGCTTAGGAGTATCACATGTGAACACTTCAGAAGCTGCGACAGCATTACAAAGGAATATCATTCCTATTAACAGGATGGCAAGGTTTCTGTCATAATCAGCAAGGCAGACAATATATGAAAAAGTTGTTTATCTTAGAAGTCACACTTAAAAGAGGGCCTCTGGCCGAGCACAGTGGCTCACGCCTATAATCCCAGCACTTTGGGAGGCTGAGGAGGGTGGTTCACTTGAGGTCAGGTGTTCAAGACCAGCCTGGCCAACATGGTGAAACCCCGTCTCTACCCCATCTCTACTAAAAATACAAAAAATTAGCTGGGCGCACACCTGTAATCCCTGCTACTCAGGAGGCTGAGACAGGAGAATTGCTTGAACCTGGGAGGCGGAGGTTGCAGTGAGCTGAGATCATTCCATTGCACTCCTGCCTGGGCGACAGAGCGAGACTTAAGTCTCAAAAAAAGAAAGGCCTTTGACAAAGAGGAGTAATTTTTAAAGGGAAAACAAGATTGTGAAAACTAGGTCAATTAACAGTGACTCATTGCTTACTATGGTTCAGATACTGTTAAACACTGTTACACTAAGACATGGGCCCTGTTCTTGATCTTGTGGCCCAGTAGGGGGAGACAGGCTTCTTAACACACTGCTTTGCGCACAATTTAAGTTCTGCACAGTGGGCCTTTGAAGCAGAGTGCAATTTAGTCCGGATTGCTGGAGGCCAGTAAAAGCTGTCTGGAGAAAATGACAACTAGAAGGAGTCTTGAAGGATAAGAAGGATTTAGCCAAAAATGGCAAGAAAGAGTGAGAAGGAAACCTTCACTGGAGAGACTATAATCAATTTTGAATATTTGAATATGTGATGAGAGGAATTTTGTGTATGGCTCCTGAGATAAGACAGATGAAAGCAAATTTCAGTTCAGTATATGAAAATTCATTTATTTAGTGAAACCCTACATTAAAGTATCCCAACACAAAGCAGATTCGAATATAACATAATTGGTAATTGGCTCATCTCATAGGCTCACATCATCAGTGTGTTAATGTACAATAGGACTGTACCCTTTTACAGGACTGAGTGTTTTGGATCCCACTCACACGCTAAAACCCTGCCATAAAGCTGCATCAATTAGAGTTGTTCAAATGTGAAGCTGCATTGGAAAATGGGAAACTTTATCACCATATGTATGTATATTTTTTGAGACGGAGTTTTGCTCTTTTGCCCAGGCTGGAGTGAAGTGCATGATCTTGGGTCACTGCAACTTCTGCCTCCCGGGTTCAAGCAATTCTCTGGCCTCAGCCTCCCGAGTAGCTGGGATTATAGATGCTTGCCACCATACCCGGTTAATTTTTTTTTCGCATTTTTAGTAGAGACGGGGTTTCGCCATGTTGGCCAGGCTGATCTCGAACTCCTGACCTCAGGTGCTTCACCCACCTCTGCCTCCCAAAGTGCTAGCATTACAAGTGTGAGCCACCGTGCCTGGCCACCATATGTTTTCAAGTATAGGTTTGATGATACTTTGTTGGGAATACCATAGAAGGGATGATTAAATTTAGGCTGGAGATGATCACCAAGGTACTTTCTACCTCTAAGATCCTGCAACCCTTGAAAGACACTCTATTTGATGGTTTCATGAATAAAGGCAGTGACAATGAACAAATTCATAAATTATGGTATTATATTACATAAAACTTAGTTTCGTATTAAAATTGGCAGAACTTGTCAATTGGCATGAAATGTAACGCTGTTAAAATATACTTTCTCTTATGGTTACAAATACTCAGTGGCTCGCGCCTGTAATCCTAGCACTTTGGGAGGCCAAGGCAGGTGGATCATCTGAGGTTGAGAGTTCGAGACCAGCCTGACCAACAGGGAGAAACCCATCTCTACTAAAAATACAAAATTAGCTGGGCATGGTGGACAGGACAACATGATGTGGTCTTAATAGTGCAACTACAGGACAATATGTTGTCATTTAACATGTTCTTTCGTCTCCTGTAGTGTCTGTAAAGACAGGTAAATCAGGTTCAGTTTTGTTGCTAGGAGATGGGGAAGGACAGCTAGGCTGAAAACAGTCCTTGAAATGATATTTAGGGTAACAGCAATTATCCAAATTATCTGGTTTACTTTTCAGTGCTAGGAAAAAACCTACTCTGAGCTGAATAAGTGTATGGTTTTTACTTACTCCTAGAATGCCACAAAATAAAAGACAAGTAGTTTCTTCTGGGCAAGAATATTTCCTAGGTGGTGTTATTTACTCCTTTTATATTACATCAGGAAGCACATAATATCTACTTGTCTACTTTTGTGATATTAAGATTGACAAGAGGCCAGGCACAGTGGTTCAGGTCTGTAATCCAAGCACTTTGGAAAACCAAGGCAGGAGGATCGCTTGAGGCTAGGAGTTCAAGACCAGCCTGGGCAATATAGTGAGACCCTATCTCTACAAAAAAGTTTAAAAAATTAGCTGGATGTGGTGGCACACACTTGTAGTCCCAGCTACTTAGGATGCTGAGGTGAGAGGATTGCTTGAGCTTGGGAGGTTGAGGCTGCAGTAAGCTGTGACCATGCCACTGCACTTCAGCCTGGGTCACAGAGCGAGACCCTGTCTCACCTACCAACCCCCCACCAAAAAAAGTGTGTGTGTGTGTCTCATCCTTCAGAGATGTACAGTGAAGAATTATGATTGAAATGACATCTGGAATTTGCTTTACAGTGATCCAGAGCAGGGGTGGGGAATGAACAGCAGCAGAGGTAAGACTGGCTGTGTGTTGTTAATTGATGAAGCTGGGCAATGAGTACACAGGTTAATAAAACCATCCTTTTCATATGTTTAGAATTATCCATAATAAAAATAAAAAAACTTCAGACACATTAAATAATTACATTTCAAATGCAATCATTACATGCAAAATACAAAACCACAAAATAAAAGGAATTACAGGTTAACATTTATATAAACCTAGGACAGGACAGCATGATGCCAGGGGACAGAAAGTATTAAGAAAGAAATCAAATGATTTGGCTGGCAGAGTGGCTCATGCCTGTAATCCCAGCACTTTGGGAGGCTGAGGTGGGTGGATCACCTGAGGTAAGGAGTTCGAGACCAGGCTGGCTAACATAGTGAAACCCCCTCTCTACTAAAAATACAAAAAATTAGCCGGGTGTTGTGGCGCATGCCTGTAATCCCAGCTACTCGGGAGGCTGAGGCAGGAGAATCGCTCGAACCCGGGAGGTGGAGGTTGCAGTGAGTTGAGACCACACCACTGCACTCCAGTCTGGTTACAGAGCGAGACTCCGTCTAAAAATAAAAAAAATAAAAAATAAAAAACCACCAAGAATAAAAGCCAAGTTTTAAAAGAAATGCAAATTAAATCAAATAGGCATTATAGCACTAATCATAATAGTGAGAAGCTGGAAACATGAAATAATCAATAATAGGCAACCAACTGAAATAAATTATGGTACACACACCTATACCTTAGAATATTATGTAGCAGTTCAAAACGATAATAGAAAAAAATGTGTTTACTGCTAAGGAATGTGCATCCACAAAGATAGTACGTATATTTCATTTTATTAAAAAATTATATACATTGATGGATAGAAATGGATATGAAAAGAATACTGTGTGCTTGAAATTCTAAGTACTTAAAATTTTCTTTTGACTTTGCTTTTTCTGTAATTATTTAGTAGTAACAAAAATTCTTTAAAACATTAGTCCCAGCAATAATACTATAGACAGATCAAAAATCCAAAACCGCTGAGGTAAAGTGGCATTAAAAGAATTGCAAATAGGTAGGGCGCAGTGGGGCTCATGCCTGTAATCCCAGTACTTCTGGAGGCCAAGGCGGGCTGATTACCCACGGTCAGGAGTTCGAGACCAGCCCTGGCCAACATGGTGAAACCCTGTCTCTACTATTAATACAAAAATCAGCCAGAAGCGGTGGCTCACGCCTGTAATCCCAGCATTTTGGGAGGCTGAGGCAGGTGGATCACGAGGGCAGGAGTTCAAGACCAGCCTGGCCAACACAGTGAAACCCCGTGTCTACTAAAAATACAAAAATTAGCTGGGCGTGGTGACGAGCACCTGTAAGTAATTCTAGCTACTCGGGAGGCTGAGGCAGGAGAATCACTTGAAACCAGAAGGTGGACGTTGCAGTAAGCTGAGAGTAGCGCCTCTGCACTCCAGCCTGGGCGAAAGACCAAAACTTCATCTCAAAAAAAAAAAAAATAATAATAATTATCAGGGTGTGGCAGCGCATGCCTGTAATCCCAGCTACTCGGAAGGCTGAGGCAGGAGAACTGCTTGAACCTAAGAGACGGAGGTTGCAGTGAGCGGAGATCGTGCTATTTCACTCCAGCCTCAGCAACAAGAGTGAAACCCCGTCTCAAAAAATATATATATTTATAGGACAGAAAAGCAAAACCTTACCATAATTCCATAACTATGATTATTGGAATTACAAAGTAAATGAACACTTCAATTGTCTTATAGCAGTGATTTGTCATTAAGGTCTCAGCTCAATAATACATTTAAAATCTAACAAACTTTGGAAAGATAGTATCATTAAATTATCTTAAAACACTACATTAGGTTATTATTATCCCTGCAGACAAGGATAAAGATGGTTGGTAAGACTACAGGTGGCTAAAACAAAAGACTTAAAATGGCAAAATTCTTTGATCATATCATCATTTGATTAATAACACTTTTATCTATCAAATTTTAGTTTGGAAATCAGTTCGCTTATCAATATAGAATTCTACTTTATTGCACAATGTTCAGTCTGGCAACTTTCAACTATGCTGTGAAGCTAAACAAAAGCTAAATTCCTTAGGAAAAATGTTGTAGTTTTTCCTTTTCAACAAAAATAAAGTTGGGTCTAAGGAGCTGAAAGAGTTCTGCTCAAAAACCTATTCTGAAAAATGAACTTGTCAAAACATTTTCACCTTAAAAAAATTTCACCATGGGCACAATGGCTCACACCTGTAATCCCAGCACTTTGGGAGGTCGAGGCGGGTGGATCATGATGAGGTCAAGAGATCAAGACCATCCTGGCCAACATGGTGAAACTCTGTCTCTATTAAAAATACAAAAATTAGCTGGGCGTGGTGGTGCACCCCTGTAGTTCCAGCTACTCAGGAGGCTGAGGCAGGAGAATCGCTTGAACCTGGAATGAGGCGGAGGTTGCAGTGAGCCGAAATCGCACCATTGCACTGCAGCAGAGCAAGACTCTGCCTCAAAAAAAAAAAGAAAGAAAAAAAATCGAACACAGCTATACATCTTTGTCATTTTTGCTCTACTCAATTCTTTCTGAAAAAGTTTATTATTATTATTATTAAGGAAATAAAGTGTGGAAGGATCACAGGAAATACTTGCAATAAAAAGAATAATCGTTAACATTGGCAACTGCCACTAGGAAGGCATATACTCCACATACTACTGATAAAAACTGTAGGAACCTGTTGGTGGTTCCCATAACCACCACTGATATGTTAATTCCCACAGCATCAAAAATAAAGAACTAGTTCCATGAGCTGTCAATAATACTCTGAAGGTAACCTATTCATCAGCACCAGAATCCCACTGATTTTCTTCCACATGTTCACAATATTTTGCCATCAGTCATCTACCGGATCCTACAACTGTGTGGGAGTGTCAGGCTAACAAAAGCCAAAACTGGGCATTGACATTAATGGTAGTTTCCTGATGTTTCCCCTGCAAATCTTGCATTTTCTGATAATAAAATTTTGCACAGAAGTTGGATTTCAAAGGGCTAATTGTATGTTCTATCTGAAATCTTATAATTACAGTACTTCTATGAAAAAAGATGTCTAGTAACATAAATTGCTTCTGCGTCGGTTCCACAAACAAGACAAGGACCTAAAACATCCAAACTGTTCACAGACAGAGACCTACTGGGAAGCAAGCTTGTGATTTCAATTCGGTCTTTTGCAGGATCAGTGCTGAGCCAGGAGCTAATGACAGACTGGTGAACGTTAGCTTGGTTACTAATGCTATGAGACAAAAAAGTACTGCTTCTTCCTCCTGGGAGAAAAAAAGAAAAGGAAGAAATCTTTCAAGATGATTTTTATATTAGTAAACATCCAAACTTCTACTGATATTTAGAAAGGTGATGATACCAATGTGTTTAATTCTCAGAATAATAGGCTAATAATTCCATTATTATATATCACCACTTTTGACCAAAGGCTTATTCAGTGATATTAAATATTGAAATTTCCATGGGATACTCTGGATACCAAACTTGAAGTCTTCAGGCAAAGCAGATGATTTCAACTGTCTTTCTGTTCATCTTTTAATGGAAAGTCTCAGAAACGTAGCAAAATGGACAGCAGACAAGTTGAATAAAGAAAGACATTATTTCCAACTTACTTTCCTCTCAACTTGGTTTAATATCAAATAAGTACAAATTTAATTCACTCAACAAATGACTGAGTACCTACTATGCACCAGGTTCTGTGCTAAGTGCTCTATGCCAAGTCCTTATGTCTTGAAGCTTAAAGATTAGTACATTTAAAATCTTGCTGATCCTTTAAAATATGGCTGAACTTCCTTTTCTAAGAAAACTTTGAAGACAACCTCTACTTCACGTTTTTCTCTTTCCTCGAACCCTCAGCACTTGTATGTACCACTAATTTACTACTTTATAACAATTCTCATATCCTAATTGAACTTTCCATGCCTCTGTCCATGACTAAGAATGTCTTAAGAGCAGGATGCATATTTTATATCTGTTTTACTTTTTCACAGTGTCTAATACTGGACCTTGCAATAGTAGACACAGAATAAAGTTTTATTTCCAGTCTAACCAAGGTTCCTTAAAAGTAAATTTGCAAGTTCAAGACTGTGCGGTTAAGGGAGGAAGGAAGTAAAAACCAAGTATATACTTAGTTAATCCTTAGATGAAACTGTTCGTTTCTCTGTAGATGAAGTTAGCATAGACATGCATGCATGCTCTACACATGCTCTTCACTCCAGAATTTTTCTGGATAATTTTTAGAATTTTTTTTCCCCTTAGTTTTTATCTTTTACTGCCCCTACATTTTACATTGCTCTTGCACACTGTAAAGATTAACACATTATTCAAGCCACTGTGATAAGACTCCTTCCTCATCTCCTTGTTTCTACCTTTCTCCCCGCTCTCCCATAAAGTCCTTATCATGGGCTCCTCAGCCACCAGTCCTTATCTCCCACCACTCTACCCTGCTGGCTGAGCTGCAACCATGGTGTCCTTGTTGTACTCTGCCTGTCTCAGGTCCTCAGCATTTGCTGTTTCCTCTGCCTAGAATGCTTTCATGTCACTTACACCTTCACTTCTCTTAAGTCTCTGCTCAAATGTTCCTTCTGCCAAGTGGCTTCTTCTTACGACTCTTTAACTAGAGTAGCTCCCGTCACTCCTGTCTTTGTTGTTTTTCCTCCTACTCTTGTGTATTCTTCTTCATGGTAATTAGCAGTGTATTTGGCCACATTATTTTCCTTTTTCTTTTCTTTTTTTTGAGACAGAGTCTCAGTTTGTTGCCCAGGCTGGAGTGCAGTGGCACAATCTTGGCTCACAGCAACGTCTAACTCCCAGATTCAAGCGATTCACCTGCCTCAGCCTCCCAAGTAGCTGGGATTACAGGCATCCACCACCACGCCCAGCTAATTTTTGTATTTTTAGTAGAGACAGGGTTTCACCACGTTGGACCAGGCTGGTCTCGAACTCCTGGCCTCAGGTGATCTGCCCACCTTGGCCTCCCAAATTGCTGGGATTACAGGTGTTAGCCACTGTGCCCGGCCTCCTTTTTCTTTTCGGTCTCCTTTCTACTTTTCTGTGCTCTGCTATATACTGTAGGGGGTGGAAGTCAGCAAACTCCACTTTCCAGGCTGCTTTGGCATCTGCCATCCAGATGGGCCTTGCCAATAGCAGGTATTCATGGTGGGTGACTGGAAGACAGAGGGGAGAAGCAGCTCCTTCCTACTCCAGGTTTCTGGCAACAACATTGGTGAACTACCACCAGTGTTGAACTACCAGCCTGGTTGAGGGAGCGCCTTTTCTGCTGATTCAGAACAAACTTTTACAGCATTTTCAACAATGCAGTAGCAGGGGTACTAACAATTATTATTTCTGGGTGCTCCCTTTTTTCCTATTTGTTCTCCCAACCCCTCTCCTATTACTTTTTGTTTTCCCAGCCCTTCTAACACATGTGAGACCAATTCCCTCTACATCGAAGGTAGTTTCTGACATTCTGATTGGACTCTTACTGATACATTATCTATTTTTTAACTGTCTACTAGAATATTTGCTCTATGCGTGTTGACATTTCGTTCTGCTCACTGTTATATGCCCTAACACCTAGAAGAATGCCTACATGATAGGCATTCAGTAAATATTTCTGAATGAATGAATAAGCAAAAGAACTATGGAACCACAGACAAACCCTCAAAAACAGGAAACTTGGAAAATGCAAAAACCTACAAACCCTTGATTACAACAAGAGACTGGTTTTTGGCTGACCATAACCTACCACTGACTATGAGGAAAAGCAGGACTTTTTTTTTTTTTTTTTTTTTTGAGACGGAGTTTTACTCTTGCTATCCAGGCTGGAGTGCAATGGTACGATCTCGGCTCACTGCAACATCCATCTCCCGGGTAAAAGTGATTCTCCTGCCTCAGCCTCCTGAGTAGCTGGGATTACAGGCATGCGCCACCACACCAGGCTAATTTTGTATTTTTAGTAGAGATGAGGTTTCTCCATGTTGGTCAGGCTGGTCTCAAACTCTCGACCTCAGATGACCCACCCGCCTCGGCCTCCCAAAGTGTTGGGATTACAGGCATGAGCCACCACACCTGGCCCAACTTGAGAAAAAACCAGTACCCTCAGTTACATCAAATATCAACTTTTTTCTTGCCATTCACACAAACTTGGCAATGCAATATAAAAGATTTGCCTGTGTCTATGCTATGGCATGAGGGTCTAGGTCAATGGCACTCACAAAGAAGAACCTTGGCTGTCTCAAGTGAGCCAGCTTACAGCGTTTCTAGCCATCAGCCATACAGTAGTAAGTAACTTGACAGTCAGATTTCAAGCCCTGTGATACTCAAATTTACTCTGAGGCAAGAGAATAAAAATGTTTTGCCATTAAGTAAAAACCACAAGGATGTCTAATTTGGTACTTAAAAGTATAATAAGGCTGGGTACAGCAGCCCATGCTTATAACAGCAGCACCTCGGGAGGCCCTGGCAGGAGGATCACTTGAGCTCAGGAGTTCAAGACACGCCTGGGCAGAATAGTGAGAGCTCGTCTGTACAAAAAAATATTTTTTTTAATTAGCTGGTTGTGGTTGCAAGAACCTCTGCTCTCAGCTATTTGGGAGGCTGGGGCAGGAGGATTGCTTGAGTCCAGGAGGGCGAGGATGTAGCAAGCTGTGACCATGCCACTGTAGTCCAGCCTGCATGTCAGAGTGAGATCCTGTCTCAAACAAAACAAAACAAAACAAAATTAAAGTATGATAAAATTACACATAACAGGCTGGGCACAGTGGCTCATGCCTGTAATCCCAGCATTTTGGGGAGGCTGAGGTGGCAGATCACTTAAGGCCAGGAGTTCGAAACCAGCCTGGCCAACACGGCAAAACCCCATCTCTACTAAAAATACAAAAAAATTAGCCAGGTGTGGTGGCACACACCTGTAATCCCAGCTACTAGGGAAGCTGAGGCACAAGAAAAGCTTGAACCCGACAGGCAGAGGTTGCACTGAGCCAAGACTGCACCATTGCACTCCAGCACTCCAGCCTAGGTGACTAAGACTCTGTATCCAAAAAAAAAAAAAAAAGAAAAAGGCCAAACATGGTGGCTCACTCCTGTAATCCCAGCACTTTGGGAGGCTGAGGCAGGCGGATCATTTGAGATCAGGAGTTCGAGACCAGCCAGGCCAACATGGTGAAACCTCATGTATACTAAAAATACAAAAAAATTAGCCAGGCATGGTGGTGCATGACTGTAGTCCCTGCTGCTCAAGAGGCTGAGGCACAAGAATCACTTGAACCCCAGAGGCGGAGATTGCAGTGAACTGAGATCGTGCCACTGCATTCCAGCCTGGGTGACAGAGTGGGACTCTGTCTTTAAAAAAAAAAAAAAAAAAAGAGAGAGATTACACATAAGAGTATTCATTAAAAAGTTTTACCTTGGTGAAAGAGTGACGACTTTTCAGGTACATCTGTGGAGGCATCCCAGTGCCAGAGGGATCCATCTTCAGAGCAGGTAAACAGATGATCTGGGTTGGATGGGTGAAAGTGAACTTCCCACACTAAGAGACAAGAATCAAGAAGCTCATTCCTGTGCAGATTCACTGAACAAACAACATTAAACCCCCATCTCTAGGCACCATCTTCCATTATCCTCCATCGCATACCTTCAAGCCTCAAGTCTATCATAAAAATTAAAGGTTTCAGAATTAAAGACATAACATAACTTTCCAATGCCTATAACATGTAGAAAGGAAAAAGAACACTTTGGGAGGCTAAGGCGGGTGGATCAGCTAAGGTCAAGACCAGCCTGGGCAACATGGTGAAATACCATCTCTACTAAAAATACAAAAGTTAGCCAGGCGTGGTGGTGCATGCTTGTAGTCCCAGCTACTTAGGAGGCTGAGATAGGAAAATCACTTGAACCCGGGAGGCGGAGGTTGCGCAAGCTCGCCCCACTGCACTCCAGCCTCAGTGACAAAGTGAGACTGAGGGAAAAAAAAAGGAAAAAGAAGCCAAATAAATTTGTGTACTGGGCAAGGAAATAAATGAAAATAGTAGCTGGGCACGGTGGCTCATGCCTGTAATCCCAACACTTTGGGAGGCCAAGGTGGGTGGATCACCTGAGGTCTAGAGTTCGAGACCAGCTGACCAACATGGTGAAACCCCATCTCTACCAAAAATACAAAACATTAGCCTGGTGTGGTGCCAGGTGCCTGTAATCCCAGCTACTTGGGAGGCTGAGGTAGGAGAATCGCTTAAACCCAGGAGGTAAGGTTGCAGTGAGCCGAGATTGCGCCATTGCACTCCAGCCTGGGCAAAAAGAGCAAAACTACATCTCAAAAAAAAAAAAGAATAAGAAAAAAGAAAAGAAAAGAAAAGAATTGCTAAAACATTTAACCCTATTACTTTATGAAAAGCTTTTTTAAAAATTTTTAAAATAGAGACAGCGTTTTGCTATGTTGTCTACCTCGGTCTTCCACTCCTGGCCTCAAGCAATCCTCCTGCCTCAGCCTCCCAAAGTTGGCTGGGATTACAGGTGTGTGCCCAGCTAGGAATGACTGTTTTTTACAGAAAAGTTTTTTTTTTAATTGGTAAGTTGTCTTATTTTTCAATTCCTGTGTCATTAATATATGAAGATTATATTATTGGAAAAACTGAGAAAGACCCTAATAGAAATACAAAAATGAATTTCTAAGAGGCAATATCCAATGTTGGTTAATGCCAAGATTCTGAATACTTCTGGCCTTTATCAAAGAAATAGCAACTGACTTCTAGCAAACCAAAATTTGGAAATGTTCTAAGAATTTGGATCCAGTTTCAGATGGAGGGCTTTTTATTTTTGGCATAGTCATGGCTCACTACAGCCTTGACCTTCCAGGCTTAAACAATCCGCCTATCTCAGCCTCCCCAGTAGCTAGGACTACAGGCATGCATCACCATACCTGGCTAATTTTTGTATTTTTAACAGAGACAGGGTTTCTCCATATTGCCCAGGCTGGTCTCAAACTCCTGAGCTCAAGCGATCTGCTTGCCTAGGGCTCCCAAAGTGCTAGAATTATAGACATGAACTACCATGCTCAGCCCCAAAGAAATTCTATATATTCCAAAATCACATTCAATTCTGAAAGATACCAGTCTTCCTCATTTCCTCAAAATCTTTTATGGAATCATAATTTCTATAGAAATCTAACAACAAAAAAAATTAGCTAGGTGTAGTGGCACATATCTGTAGTCCCAGCTACTCAGAAGGGCAAGACAAGAGGATCACTTGACCCCAGGAGGTTAAGGCTTAAGTGAGGTACCACGACACTGCACTCCAGCCTGGGCAACATAGTGAGACCCTGTCTCTACAAAAAATAAAAAATTAGCCAGGTGTAGTGGTGCATGCCTGTAGCCTCAGCTACTCAGGAGGCTGAGGTGGGAGGATTGATTGAGCCAGGGAGGCGAGGCTGAGGCTGCAGTGGGCTGTGATCACACCACTGCACTCAAACCTGGGTGACCCTGTTTTAAAAATATATATATAGTGCCAGGCGCGGTGGCTCACACCTGTAATCCCAGCACTTTGGGATGCCAAGGCAGGCGGATCACCTGAGGTAAGGAGTTTGAGACCAGCCTGGCCAACATGGTGAAACCCCGTTTCTACTAAAAATACAAAAATTAGCCAGGCATGATGGCGCATGCCTTTAGTCCCAGCTACTAGGGAGGCTGAGGCAGAAGAATGGCTTGAACCCGGGAGGCAAAGGTTTCAGTGAGCCACGATCGTGCCACTGCACTCCAGCCTGGGCAACAGAGCAAGACTCTGTCTCAAAAAAAAAAAAAGAAAAAGTATAATCCATTCTGGCATGACATCAAAGACAGAGTGAGAAAATGAAAAATTTCTGTCCAGCTAAATCATCTCCACCAGAATCAAAAGAAAAAAAAAAAGCGCTTATAAATCTATCATTCATGTTAAAAAATGATGCAACAATAAATTGAGGAGCACATTTATTAGCAAATATGACAAACAGCCTACATTTGCATGGGAAAAGGGCATTCTGGCACACCTCACTATGGCATATAAAATGGTATGATTTTTATTACCTTTCTTCGGGGAGCAAAGTCTCACTATATTGTCCAGGCTAGAGTGCAGAGGTGCAATCATAATGCACTGCAGCCTTGAATTCCCGGACTCAAGCAATCCTCCTGCCTCAGCCTCCCAAGAAGCTGGTGCATGTCACCCACCTGCCTTAAATTAGTATTATTAACTTTTTAAAGAGGTTATGTTGCTTAAGCTGGCCTAAACTCTCAAGCTCAAGCAATCTTCCCACTTCATGCTCCTGAGTAGCTGGAACTACAGGCAAGTGCCAATGTGCCTGGCTTAAACTGGTATTATTTTTGTGTAGAAAAATCTGTCAATGCATTATGCAAAAGGTCTGGCCTAGCAATTTTACTTCTAAAAAATTATCCTAAGAAAATAAGTACATAAGGCTGGGCATGGGAATAATGGCTCATGCCTGCAATCCTAGCACTTTGGGAGAATTGTGTAAGTCCAGGAGTTCGAGGCTGCAATGAGCTATGATCACACCACTACTGCACTCCGGCCTAGGCAACAGAGACCCTGTCTCAAAAAAAGTACATACAGATAAATATCTAAGGATTCCACTACAGTTTTGGATATAAGAATGAAACCTGTGGCTGGTATGGTGGCTCATAACTCATACCTGTAAACTCAGCATTTCCTGAGGATCACTTGAGCCCAGGAGTTTGAGGCCAGCCTGGGCAATAAAGTGAAACCCCGTATCTACAAAAAAACAAACAACAACAAAAAATCAGCTAGGCGTGGTGACACACACCTATAGTCCTATTTACTTGGGAGGCTAATGCAGGAGGATCACCTGAGCCCTGGAAGTCAAGGCTGTAGTGAGCCGTGACTGCACCACTGCACTCCAGCCTGGGCGACAGAGCCAGACCCTGTCTTTTAAAAAGCCGGGCATGGTGGCTCATGCCTGTAATCCCAGCACTTTGGGAGGCTGAGGCGGGCAGATCACCTGAGGACAGGAGTTCAAGACCAGCCTGACCAACATGGAGAAATCCAGTGTCTACTAAAAATATAAAATTAGCCGGGTGTGGTGGTGTATGCCTGTAATCCCAGCTACTTGGGAGGCTGAGGCAAGAGAATCGCTTGAACTCGGGAAGCGAATGTTGTGGTGAGCCATGATAGCGTCACTGCACTCCAGCCTGGGCAACAAGGGTGAAACTCCATTTCCAAAAAAAAAAAAAAAAAAAGTTAAAGAACGTAAATGTCAAGTAAAAAGAAATTAGATAATTATTTAAATTTACACAATTCAGTCATTAAAAGCTACAATGTAAAATGATCCACATGTATCATTATAGAAAGGTGCTTATTATATGTCATATAACTCACCCAATACAAACTTTTTGTATCTCCACAATACTTACTTTCAGCTTCATGAGCCTTCAGCAGAGACACAGGCATAGTACCTTGTCTAACATCCCAAATACTCAACATTCCATCTTGGCCACCAGTAGCTACAACATGCTGCTGGTTGGGATGTCTATCAACACAGTGGAGTGGCACTCGGTCACCAGTCCTTTTGTGGGAGATAACAATGACATCAAAATCAAATAAAGTACAATTTATCTTTGTGTAACACAGGAAACACGTTTTTTTTGGTGGTGGTGGTTGTTTGTTTGTTTTGAGACAAGGCTTCACCCAGGCTGGAGTGCAGTGCTGCGATCATTGCTCACTGAAGACTCAAACTCCCTGGGCTCAGGTGATCCTCTCACCTCAGCCTCCTGAGTTGCTAGGAGTACATGTGTGTACCATCATGCCTGGTTAACTTTTTGTATTTTTGTAGAGATGGGGTTTCTCCTTGTTGCCCAGGTTGGTCTCAAACTCCCAGGCTCAAGTGATCTAGCCACCTTAGCCTCCCAAAGTGCTGGGATGACTGGTAACTATACCCAGCCTGTTTTTTTGGTTTTTTAAGAGACAGGGTCTTGACCAGGCTTAGTGGCTCACGTCTATAATCCCAGCATTTTGGGAGGCCAAGGCAGGTGGATGACTTGAGGACAGGAGTTCAAGACCAACCAGGCCAAAATGGCGAAATCCCATCTCTACTAAAAATACAAAAACTAGCCAGGCATGGTGACACATGCCTGTAGTGCCAGCTACTTGGCAGGCTGAGGCATGAGAATCGCTTGAACCTGGTAGGCAGAAGTTGCAGTGAGCCAAGATCATGCCACTGCACTCCAGCCTGGGCAACAGAGTGAGACTCTGTCTCAAAAAATAAAAAAATAAAAAAAAGACAGGGTCTTGTTTTGTCACCCAGGCTAGAGTGCAGTGGTGTTGTCTACAGCTTGCTGCAACCTGGGCTCAAAAGAGCCTTTTGCCTCAGCCTCCCAAGTAGCTAGGACTACACGCACATGCTACTGTGCCTGGCTATTTTAAGAAATTTTTGTAGAGATGGGGTCTCACTGTGTTGCCCCAGCTGGTCTCAAACTTCTCACTGCAGATAATCCTACCAAAGTGTTGGGATTACAGGCGTGAGCCACCATGCTCAGTCAAGAAACATGTTTTATATGGTAACTAAGTGACAACGTAGTGGCTGCAGCTACTGGCTGAATCTTTATTTGAGATGGAGTTTTGTTCTTATTGCCCAGGCTGGAATGCAATGGCTTGATCTTGGTTAACCGCAAACTCTGCCTCCCGAGTAGCTGGGTCTACAGGCACACGCCACCATGCCTGGCTAATTTTTGTATCTTTAGTAGAGATGGGGTTTCACCATGTTGGCCAGGCTGGTATCGAACTTCTGACCTCAAGTGATCCGCCCGCCTTGGGCTCCCAAAGTGCTGGGATTACAAGCATGAGCAACCATGCCCGGCCTGGCTGAATCTTAATGATACCAAAAAAATGAACTAAATTAGATATATTTCTAAATAGTACAATTTGGAAATAATTCAAGGCCACAATTATTTATTTTCACTTCAATCTGAAGACATGGAATGAAAGATAATCCGATGGTAAGATGTACAAATCACATTTCCACTTATTAGATTATTTAAAAATTCATACATCAAGTATACTAAGTATGATTTATCACCTTATTTAATGCTTAGTTTATGTAACTATTTTTTCAGTGTGATACATTCTATTTTCTTATGAGAGGAGGTTGTACACCTAAAAAGGAGGATTTCTGCTCAGAAAAAATATCTGGAATTATATTTTCCCCCCAGTCATTACATCTGGAGTATATTTTATCCATTAAACAATCACTGAAAGAGCAGAAATAAGTTCTCCATGAAATAATACAAACTTCAAAGAGTAAAGGCTCTGAATCACTATAACAAATAATTACTAAATGAAGCATAGTAGTATCAACCCCGTCAAGTAATGCTTGCTCTACCAAATTTTAATCAGGGATCTCCCTCTTAAAATGCAATTAAAATACAATATGGCTAAAGCCAGTAGCTATAAACAACCTAACACATTAATTTTTGGATTACATTACTGAAATTACAAATCAACACTTACAGTGACAATATCTGAGAAGGTTCATTTCCTTGTTGTCTGAAATCCCATATTTTCAACTGTCCAATTGAATTTACAGTAAGAATCTCAGGAGTTCGAAGAAAGGTTACAGCGTGGAGTGTACTACTATCTGCATTGTCTAAAAATTTAAAAAATGGTAGTATGTGTTAATGAGTCCCCTTTTTTTCCAAGAAAATCTTAAATCACACTCCTTTCATGGATTGATATATTACAATTTCCAGTAACTTATAATTTAAATTTCTATAGAAAAATGCATGGTAATGTATATGTTTAAATGGATTCTCTTTGGATGGAAAAATATTACTCACAGGACGTCTGAACTGTTTTCTGTTTCTTTTTTTTTTTTTTTTTGAGATGGAGTTTCACTCTTGTTGCCCAGGCTGGAGTGCAATGGCGCGATCTTGGCTTACCGCAATCACTGCCTCTCAGATTCAAGCAATTCTCCTGCCTCAGCCTCCCAAGTAGCTGGGATGACAGGCATGTGCCACCACACCCGGCTAATTTTGTATTTTTAGTAGAGATGGGGTTTCTCCAAGTTGGTCAGGCTGGTCTAGAACTCCCGACCTCAGCTGATCCACCAGCCTCAGCCTCCCAAAATGCTGAGATTACAGGCGTGAGCCACTACGCCTGGCCTACTGTTTTCTTTCTCTTTTTTGAGATGGATGTCGCTTAGGCTAGAGGGCAGTGGCACCCTCTTGGCTCACTGCAACTTACGCCTCCCAGGTTCAAGTGATTCTCTTGCCTCAGCCTCTCTAGTAGCTGGGATACAGGTACATGCCAGCCTCCTGGCTAATTTTTGTATTTTTAGTAGAGACGGAGTTTCACCATGTTGGCCAGGCTGGTCTCAAACTCCTGAGCTCAGGTGATCCGCCTGCCTCAGCCTCCCAAAGTGCTAGGATTACAGGCGTGAGCCACCAGGCCTGGCCTTGAACTGTTTTCTAAATGGAAGGCTGAGTTTTCATACATTCCTTTTTAACTCTTAAGATTGTTAACCTGCATTTCTGAGACAGTTGTTCAAGCTCCTCTAAACCCAATCTTACTTCCCACTAGTCCCTGACCTAGAACTTCCATTCTATTGAGCCAAACCCCAGTGCTTCCTACAGAGCTCACTCTAATCTTCTATTATTCTACAGACTCATCCCAAATCTACTCATTTTCACCCTCATCAACACTCGCCCTCTCCATGAAGTCATTCCTGATTGTCATAATGGTCCTTTTTGTTGATTTCCTGGTGTTCAGAACTTACGCCTCATAATTTAACATATACTTTATGGACTTTAGTTTGTGCCACTCCTCTACACTGCCACCAGGCAATGGTCATTAATTAACAAATAAGTGAAGTCGCCCAGTGCAGTGGGTCACATCTGTAATCTCAGCACTTTGGGAGGCCGAGGTGGGCAGACCACTTGAGCCCAGGAGTTTGAGACCAGCCTGGGCAACATGGTGAAACCTCATTTCTACAAAAATTAGCTGGGCATGCTGGTACGCATCTGTAGTCCCAGACACCTGGGAGGCTAAGGTGGGAGGATCACTTGAACTGGGAGGCAGAGGTTGCAGTGAGCTGGGATCATGCCACCGCATTCCAGGCTGGGTGACAGAGCAACACTCACAAAATGGATTCATGGGCTCAATTCCTAGAGATTCTGATTTAAGAGGTCTAGAGTGGTGGACAGTTAAAAAATTGCCTCAGAGAAATCTGACTGAAGCATAGTTGAGAACCAATACACTTAGTTTTCTACCTAAAAGATGAAACCTCTGTGATTTTGCATTACAGACTCTGCAATCTGGCCCCAGTTTACCCCTCTCTTGCTTCATCTTTCATCTCTCCTACATAGATATCTAAAGTCAGGTCAAACCATACTTTTTGTCATTCTCTGAATGTCTTTATCCTGCCTCTGGCCTATTCCTTTTGTCTAGCACGCCATCTTTTAGTCTTACTTATGGTCTAGAACCCAGAAAAACTATTAATTACTACCTACTCCCAGATGCTTTATCTGATAATGCCCTCTCGCCAAAAAAAAAAAAAAATTGGTTTCTGTTTCTTCTAGTCAGTCATTCGTACTGGCCTCGTCAACCTACTCTCTTGACAAAGGGATCCTGCCATGCGTGCGTGTGTGTGCATGTGTACATGTATTTTTTTGAGACTGAGTCTTGCTCTGTCACCCAGGCTGGAGTGCAGTGGCGTGATCTTGGCTCACTGCAGCCTCTCTCTCACGTTCAAGTAATTCTCATGATTTAGCCTCCCAAGCAGCTGGGATTACAGGCGTGTGCCACCATGCCCAGCTAATTTTTGTATTTTCAGTAGAGACAGGGTTTTGCCATGTTGGCCAGGTTGGTCTCAAACTCTTGGCCTCAAATGATCTGCTTGCCTTGGTCTCCTAATGTGCTGGGATTATAGGCATGAGCCACTGCTACCAGCCATATATTTTTATATCCCTCAATCACTTAACATTGTGTTTACTTTTTTTTTTTTGAGACGGGGTCTTGCTCTGTCACCCAGGCTGGAGTGCAGTGGTGTGATCTCAACTCACTGCAAGCTCCGCCTCCCAGGTTCACGACATTCTCCTGCCTCAGCCTCCAGAGTAGCTGGGACTACAGACAACTGTCGACACTATGCCAGGCTAATTTTTTGTATTTTTAGTAGAGACAGGGTTTCACTGTGTTAGCCAGGATGGTCTCAATCTCCTGATCTTGTGATCCGCCCGCCTCGGCCTCCCAAAGTGTCGCGATTACAGGCGTGAGCCACCGCGCCCGGCTCATTGTGTTTACTTTTTTTTTTGAGATAGAGTCTCGCTCTGTCGCCAGGCTAGCGTGCAGTGCTGTAATCTTGGTTCACTGCAACCTCTACCTCCCAGGTTCGAGCGATTCTCCTGCCTCAGCCTCCCGAGTAGCTGGGACTACAGGCACATGCCACCACACCCAGCTAATTTTTGTTATGTTTAGTACAGACGGACTTTCACGATGTTGGCCAGAATGATCACGATCTCTCGACCTTGTGATCTGCCCGCCTTGGCCTCCCAAAGTGCTGGGGTAACAGGCATGAGCCATCATGCCCGGCAGTGTTTACTTAGTATATGGTAAGCACTCAATTACTCTGTGATGAATGAAAGGAATACAATTATTTTTCTTTTTTTGAGATGGAGTCTCCCTCTGTCGCCCAGGTGGGAGTAGAGTGCCATCACAGCTCACCGCAACCTCCGCCTCCCGGGTTCAAGTGATTCTCCTGCCTCAGCCTCCTGAGTAGCTGGGATTACAAGCATGCGCCACCATGCCTGGCTCACTTTTCTTTTCTTCTTTTTTTTTGAGACAGAGTTTCACTCTTATTGCCCAGGCTGGAGTGCAATGGCACAATCTGCTCACTGCAACCTCCGCCTCCCGGGTTCAAGTGATTCTCCTGCCTCAGCCTCCCAAGTAGCTGGGATTACAGGCATGTGCCACCATTCCCGGCTAATTTTTTATTTTTAATAGAGAGAGTGTTTCTCCATGTTGGTCAGGCTGGTCTTGGACTCCCAACCTCAGGTGATCCGCCTCCCAAAGTGCTGCGATTGCCGGGGTGAGCCACCACACCCAGCCTAACTTTTGTATTTTTAATACAGACAAGGTTTCGTCATGTTGGCCAGGCTGGGATTTTTCTTACCTATGGTTCTTAGAGCTTCCTTGTGATCAGCTCTGAAGAGATTTATTCGACCATCCTCTCCAACTGTAACGATTTCTGGGTTGTTGCACACAACACCCGTACATGGTGCACTGCTATAGGAAGGACTGCCAGGGCCTGCGTGGTAGTGAGCTGTAGTCCACTGCTGGTTGACTGACAGAGTCTAGGCATCAGAAATGAGGATACTATTAAAGAAAAGTACTAAGGAACTAGCACTTCTTACCAACAAGAGTATCTTTAAATTCTGACTCACATCCTTCTACAAGAATAAATCTTTTTTCCTTTAGAATAATGAAATCTAGAAACTACTTGCATCAAAGTTCTGTATACATAGAATTAGATTCAAAAGAAATATTGTTTAATAATGCCCCACATTTATCTCAAACTACAGTAATGAGTTTTAGGGATCAAGCAGTTGGATGTTCAAAAGCAACTCTTTGTATTCTTATGGGAATTAACCTACATCTAAAATATACATCTCTGGCCCATGGCTGTGGCTCATGCCTGTAATCCTAGCACTTTGGGAGGCCAAGGCAGGCAGATCATCTGAGGTCAGGAGTTCTCACCAGCCTGGTCAATATGGTGAAATCCCATCTCTACTAAAAATACAAAAATTAGCCAGGTATGGTGGCACACACCTGTAATCCCAGCTACTTGGGAAGCTAAGGTGGGAGAATTGCTTGAACCAGGGAGGTGCAGGCTGCAGTGAGCAGAGATCGTGCCACTGCACTCTAGCCTGGGTAACAGAGAGAGACTCTGTCTCAAAATAAATAAATAAATAAATAAATAAATAATAAATTAATCTCTGTAGCTTTTTCTAAATGACTCAAAAAAACCTTTAACATGAACTGGGTCTTATATTTACTAGGCATGTCTATTAGAAACGTTACCTTTGGCCGGGAGCGGTGGCTTATGCCTATAATCCCAGCACTTTGGGAGGGTGAAGAGGGCTGATCACCTGAGGTCAGGAGTTCGAGATCAGCCTGACCAACATGGAGAAACCCCGTCTCTACGAAAAATATAAAATTAGCTGGGCGTGGTGTCACATGCCTGTAATCCCAGCTACTTTGGAGGCTGAGGCAGGAGAATCACTTGAAGCTGGAAGGCGGAGCTTGTGATGAGCTGAGATTGTGCCATTGCACTGCAGTGCCTGGGCAAAAAGAGCAAAACTCCATCTCAAAAAAAAAAAAAAAAATTCACTTTTCAAACTGAAGTTCTTTACCTGGTTATTCGGATGGTGAAGGAAAACTGTTACACATCCTGTTGATGAAGCAGTGACAATTCTTTCCTGGTCAAAAAACTAAAGAGAAAATTTCTGCTTGTTAAAGACTCAGAAATATTAGCAGGGAGGAAATCTATTCATTTATTTAACTCAATTAGTAGCAAATGATAACAATTTTAAAAAGCAAAGAGCCTATGAGTGCTAAGCAAATAGCATGTGTTAATGGAGCTGAAAGTCCAAACTGCCATACAAAGTATTTTCACGAATAAACAGTATTTTTTTCCTAGACACATTCACCAGCCATTGATTTAATTTGAGACCAACACAATAAAACGTTAGAAAAATATCATTCCTGGCTGGGTGCGGTGGCTCACGCCTGTAAACCCAGCACTTTGAGAGCCCTAGGCAGACAGATCGCTTGAGTTCAGGAGTTCAAGACCACCCTGGGCAACGTGGCGAGACCTCGTCTCTACGAAAATATAAAAATGAGTCGGGGTTGTGGGGAAGCGGAGCTTGTAGTGAGCCAAGATCGAGCCCCTGCATTCCAGCCTGGTTGACAGAGCAAGACTCAGTTTCAAAAAAAGAATAAAAATTTTTAAAAAGAAAAGCCAGGCGCAGTGGCTCACACCTGTAATCCCAGCACTTTGGGAGGCTGAAGCAGGCAGATCATGAGGTCAGGAGTTCGAGACCAGCCTGGCCAATATGTTGAAACCCCGTCTCTACTAAAAATAAAAAAATTAGCTAGGCGTGGTGGCAGGCGCCTGTACTGCCAGCTACTCAGCAGGCTGAGGCAGAAGAATCACTTGAACCTAGGAGGCAGGGTTGCTGTGAGCCGAGATCGTGCCACTGCACTCCAGCTTGGGCGACAGAGTGAGACTCCGTCTCAAAAAAAAAAAAAAAAAAAAAAAAGAAAAAAAAAAAAAAAAGGAAAAAATTTTTCAGGCACGGTGGCTCACGCCTGTAATCCTAGCACTTCAGGAGGCCAAGCCGGGTGAACCACGAGGTCAGGAGTTCAAGACCAGCCTGGCCAACATAGTGAAACCCCATCTCTAAAACACAAAAATTAGCCAGGCATGGAGGCATATGCCTGTTGTCCCAGCTACTCAGGAGGCTGAGGCAGAAGAATTGCATGAACCCAGGAGGCAGAGGTTGCAGTGAGCTGAGATCGTGCTACTGCACTCCAGCTCAGGTGACAGTGTGAGACTCCGTCTCAAAAAAAAAAAAAAAAAAAAAAAAAAATCTTTCCTAGGGCTAGATAGCTTTCTTTCTTCTCTTTCTTCTCTCTGTCTCTTTCTCTTTCTTTCTTTTTTTTGGGGGACAGCGTTTCGCTCTTGTTGCCCAGACTGGCGCACTCTCAGCTTACTGTAACCTCTGCGCCCAGGTTCAAGCAATTCTCCTGCCTCAGCTTCCCGAGTAGCTGGGGTTACAGGCGTACACCAGGGCTAGGTAGCTTTCTATAGAATAAAACGCAGGGGCTCTCCACACCAGGATTCGAAAACTTAATTTCGGCCAGGCACAGTGGCTCACTCCTGCAATCTCAGCACTTTGGGAGGCCGAGATCGGGAGTTCAAGACCATCCTGGTTAATATGGTGAAACCCCGTCTCTACTAAAAATACAAAAAATTAGCCGGGTGTGGTGGCCTGTGCCTGTAGTCCCAGCTACCTGGGAGGCTGGGGCAGGAGAATCGCTTGAATCTGGGAAGTGGAAGCTGTAGTGAGCGGAGATCATGCCACTGTACTCCAGCCGGGGAGACAGAGTGAGACTCCACCTCCAAAAAAAAAAAAAAGAAAAAGAAAAAGAAAAGAAAAAAAAAGAAAAAAAGAAAGCTCAATTTCATCCCCACCACTCACTACTGGTTTCGAGACTTTGGCCAAGTTAAGTTCACTAAATCGTGGTAAATCTTTAAAACGGGAGCACTAATCTCTGCTTAGGGAGTTGTCATGAGAATTCAAAAAACAAAATGATGTTAATCCCCCTGCACAGTATCTGTCACATAGTGCATGCTCAAGATATATTAGTCTCAATTTTCTCATTAGTAAAACAAAGTAACAATACTTGATTTACTGGCAACCAGTAATAATTAATTTTTGTAAAGCTCCCCAAACGGTACTTAGCACATAGTCGACGGTCAATAAATACAAAAGTATGATTAAATCTACATCCCCCTTCCCAGTCCTTTTTCTGCCACTAAATGGCTAAATGATGTCGGGCAAATCATAACTTACAGAGCACTCAGTTTTTTGTAAACGAGGTGTGACACAAGACAACCTTTATGATGCTCTGCTTGTTTAAATGTATTACTCAGGACTTTCAAAGTTAGCTTTTGGATGCTACACAGATTTACCTGTAAATCCATGACATCACCATGGTGTCTGATATCACACAATAACTGATGGTCTCCTTCAAACCCTCCATCAGAGTCCAAGTTTCCAAAATCTCCAATAGACCACAGTGAAACATAATTTTCCTGTAAAACAAAGAGTTTTGTCTTGAGATGACATAAACGTCAACTCTCGGAAAATAAAAGTTGTGCTTCCGTCCAGAAAGCTTACTCCAAAACATCTCAGACAAATAGTATGGTGAGTTTAAAACGTAACGAGATATGAGGCTCAGGCACACCATCACGGGCTCTGAGCTATGGAGCAACCGCGCCTGAAACAGGGTCCGAGGGACCTAGAAGTTCGAGAAAAACCAGAAGGTGGGAGTTGGCGCGCACGCGGCCAGGGGTCAGCTCAACCGGAGGGAGGGAAGAGGCAGGGGCTCGTCCCTATCAGCGGGGATACCTCATTGTCCCAAGATCCTGTAGCGAACGTCTCCGCGGTTTGCAAACTTCCGGGAGGCAGCGGTCGCCAGCGGGTTTTGCTGATTTTCTGAGACACAAACTTCGCATAAATTTCCTCCATGCCGAAAGCAGCCGCAGCAGGTACTGCAAAAAGCAAGCTCAATGCGCGCCTCTCAGCCCCGCCTCTTCCCGCGGAACCCTGATTGGATGGGACTTTAGGAGGGAGACGGTGGCTGCAGAGAGTCAATTCTCTTCGGTAGCCAGTGTGGGCACGGTCAGTATACAAACTGGGAGAACCTAGACCGAGAGGCCCATCTCCTAGAGCGACTCTGAGCAAAGGCAAGCGCGCTTTGGCCTTTGAGCAGTAGGACTTGCTCCTAATCTACAATATCAGTATTTTCTTGTGTTCAATAATTGTGCAGTGTAAAATTTAAGAGCAAAAATAGAACAAAATCAATACAGTAGAAACCACCTTAAACCACACCTAAGCAGTTGCAGGTCACTGCGCATAAAAAACAATTCAAAAATCCTTAAATACGGATTATAAATCATGCTGCTATAAAGACACACGCACACGTATGTTTATTGTGGCACTATTCACAATAGCAAAGACTTGGAATCAACCCAAAAGTCCATCAGTGACAGACTGGATTAAGAAAATGTGGCACATATACACCATAAGAATACTATCAGCCATAAAGCGATGAGTTTGTGTCCTTTGTAGGGACATGGATACGGCTAAACCTCATTCTTAGCAAACTATCACAAGAACAGAAAACCAAACACCGCATGTTCTCACTCATGGGTGGGAACTGAGAACAATAGAATCACTTGGTTAGGAAGGAGAACATCACACACCAGGGCCTATCATGGGGAGGAGGAGGGATTGCATTGGGAGTTATACCTGATGTAAGTTATACCTGATGTAAATGACGAGTTGATGGGTGCTGACGAGTTGATGGGTGCAGCACACCAACATGGCACAAGTATACATATGTAACAAATCTGCACGTTATGCACATGTACCCTAGAACTTAAAGTATAATAATAAAAAATAAATAAATAAATAAATAAATAAATAAAAATCCTTAAATACTCATGGAAGTACCTCGAATACAGTGCCAACCTACTATCCTAAACCTCTCCCTCTTGTCCCCCAAACAAATACTTTGCTTGAAAGTTAATACACACTGTCAGAGCCTGGAGTTAGAATTCTGAAAGACTCTAGTTTTAGTTTTGATGCCAATTGCCTAGCTTTGGTCAATTTAATTATGTGCATGATTAAGAATGAGGTTGGTGATATCTATTGTCAATAGCCCAGGAATCAGTTTTCTAGGTTCCTTCTGTGCTTTTGGTTACACCTATAATATTCTTCCCTTCCTCTTTACTCCTCAGAATCCTGCCTATCCTTCAAGGATCTGTTCTTTCCTTAACCATTTCCTGATGACCCCAGCCAATGTTGATCTAAATCAACATCGCTTTTTTTCTTTTTGAAGACAGGGTCTCACTCCGTGGCCCAGGTTGAAGTGCAGTGGCACAATCTCAGCTCACTGCAACCTCTGCCTCCCAGATTAAAGTGATTCTCTCACCTCAGCTTCTAGGATAGCTGGGACTACAGGTGCGTGTCACCGTGCCTGGCTAATTTTTTTTTTTTTTTTTTTTTTTGTAGAGATGGGATTTTACCATATTGGCCAGGCTGATCTCGAACTCCTGACCTCAGGTGATCCGCCTGCCTTGTCCTCCCAAAGTGCTGGGATTACAGGCATGAGCTTGCATTTGATATCTAGGCCACTGATTACATATATTTTGGATATATTTTATTGTTAGTTTTCTTAAGATGCATATTCCTCCCTAATTAGAATGTAAATCCTACTGAATACAAGAGGTATGACTTATCTAAAAAATGAACCTCTTTAATACTACAGGTATTCATAACTGTATGTTGGTTGTTTCTTTAAAAAGGGCCATTATGCTACTGTTGTTTTTATGTGATATTGGTAGTCCTACTTCACAGGGACAGTTTACGGAAGCACTGCATGTAAATGCAATCCGTCTGGCTCAGCTTTAGAGTTATCAGGTTCCTATCAAGGATTTGACTTTTTTCTTTTCACCAAATGGAAGATCATCAAGAAACTGTAGAAAAGATGAAATGGAAAATATTAAGTGGGTTACAGTCCCAAATCAACAATTTATTCATGTTTAATATTGAAGTAAAGAACACTGTTTTGGCTGGGCACGGTGGCTCATGCCTGTAATTCCAGCACTTTGGGAGACCGAGGCAGGCAGATCATGAGGTCAGGAGTTCGAGACCAGCCTGGCCAACATGGTGAAACTCTACTACTAAAAATACAAAAAAATTAGCTGGGCATGGTGGTCGTGCCTGTAATTCCAGCTACTCGGGAGGCTGCGGCAGAATTCCTTGAACGCGGACCTGGGAGGCGGAGGTTGCAGTGAGCCGAGATCATGCCACTGCATTCCAGCCTGGGCTACTGAGCGAGACTCCGTCTCAAAACAAAAACAAAAACAAAAACAAAAACAAAAAACCCAGTTTTGTCAGTAGTTTCATTTATGGTCACAGAATCCCAGAAAATAGGTAGTGATGATTTTGGAGGGAAACAGGCCAGTGTCACATTTTACAAAATCGGATAGGAACTAGAATTTGAAAATTGTGCTGACATAGTAGCACAGATGTCTTAGCCTTGTTTCCTTCCAACAGATTGATTACTGGAGGCCAAGCGCAATGGCTTACGCCTGTAATCCCAGCACTTGGGGAGGCGGACAAGGGCAGATCCCGAGGTCAGGAGATCGAGACCATCCTGGCTAACACGGTGAAAACCCGTCTCTACTAAAAATATTAAAAACTAGCCGGGCGTGGTGGCGGACGCCTGTAGTCTCAGCTACTTAGGAGGCTGAACCCGGGAGGCGGAGCTTGCAGTGAGCCGAGATCGCGCCACTGCACTCCAGCCTGGGCGACAGAGCGAGACTCTGTCTCAAAAAAAAAAAAAAAAAAAAAAAAAAAAGAAAAAAGAAAAGAAAAAGAAAAAGAAAAAAAAAGATTACTGGACTAAGTGATGGCTGGATTCTGTCAGTCTCAGGTCAAATTACGAGTCAGCGATTTGGACGCGACAAGCAATGTTCTCAGTGAGCTTCTCACTCATGGTCTTGCAGAGCTGATAGCAATAAAGCTATGGTGGAATTTGTGAGGCTTAATTAGGTGGAAATGCACACTTTTGTCGGGAGAATAACACGTTCACCAGAGGACACAGTGGTATTTTTTAACCAATCGCAATTCTTTACGTTCGTATTTTTCTAAGGGAGCAAAGCTTTGCCCCAACCCCCACCCCCATGTCCTGGTATTCTTCCACTGCCTGACAGCTTTAGAACCAGGGTTCCAAAGTCTTTGCTTAGCCTAACGGTGACATGTTTGTCACAAAGTCACAGGCCGGTGTACTCGGGTTAGAGAGGGCCTTTGTCTTTGGGTTTTATTCTTATTGTGTTATTCGGGCTCCACCGACCCAAATATTAGTCAACTGGGTTGGGCGAGGTAGGAACGGATGAAGCCCACCGTCTAACAATCTGGACATCTATAGGAGGAGATCCGCCGCTCGAAACAGCTGACCCAGCGGCGACTGCGGAACCACCAGGAGCGTCTGCAAAGATCGACCCCGCCATCCCGCCGTCCCTCTCGGTGACCGGAGACGCAGCCGGGAACGCGACTGATCAGGCTACCGAGCCCGGCCGCAGGGCGAAGTCGGTGCGGTTCGAGGCCTCAGAAAGGGACACGCAGCAGCGGCGGTGGCGCTGACTCAGCCCGGCCTCCCTGCAGTCCCCCTGGCAGCCGCAGCAGCCACAGCAGCCACACGCGCGGGCAGCTGGGCCACACGCTTCCCCCGCCCTCGGCCCCACCCGGCCGCACCCTAGGCCGCGCGGCGTCACAGAGCGCATGCGTGCCGCGGGGGATGCCGGGAGCGCGCAGTGGCGGCAGCAGCGGCGACGGCAGTAACAGCGGCAGCTACAGCGGGGACGCGAGCGGGGCGGTGACGGTGTGGGAGGTGGTCTCACTCTTGGGAAAACTGCTGGGCACCGTCGCCGCACTGAAGGTGGTTCTGTACCTGCTCCGAGTGTGCTTAGCGATGGCCTGGAAATCCGGCGGCGCCAGCCACTCGGAGCTAATCCACAACCTCCGCAGTAAGTGCCACCTCCGCCCGTTGTAGGGCAGCTGGGGCAGGCTGGGCCTGGACCGGGTCCCCCTGGGCCGTCTGGAACGTTCTGTCTGCCCCCGCGCGCCTGTTGGAGGGCTTCGGCGCAGAGTTGCCCCAATAGTCCCGAACGGCGTGCGCTTGCAGTCGCCTCCCTCGGGACCTGTCACTCGTCGACGACGTGGACTGGAAGGGGAGAGAAAGAGCCAGGGGCCGCTGGTGGTGGGGGCAGGGGCGGTCGTCTCCCTGCAGGCCCTGGGGGAGGGAGTGCAGTACAGGTGGTGCTGCTGTCACTCAGGTCCGCGTCCGGGTCCGGCTTGTGAGGGGCGTGCCTTCGGGGTGGGAGCGTGTGGGCTAGGCCTTGTAGAGAGAGTGGGCTGGCGCTCAGGAGACCCCACGCTCGTCCCCTGCATTTTTCTCACCCTCCTCCATAATCAACCTCGCTGCGAGCTTTCCCTCTTATGCAGCCTCCCCCGCCCTCGGTTTTTTCCCCTGGAGGGAGATGCCACCGTCTGATACAGGCGAGGGGAGGAAGATGAGAGTATTGCCATTGCAGATGCTGGGAGAAATTTCTCGGGCGGCTGTCCAGTGGAAAGCTCCGTAGGGGGCGGAGAAAGAACAGAGGATGCTGTTCCTGAGAGACTTGTGTTTCAGGAGCCTTTACAGGTCCTGGATCAACAAAGGGTTGCGTGTCTAATGTTCCAACTTTTTTCAGGGCTACCATAGGCTTTAAAAACCTTGTGTGGAGTTTCTTTATATCACTCTCTTACTGTATTCCTTCTTCTGATGATAATTTTAGGGTAGGATGATTGCTGTGTCACTTTCTTTTTTTAAATCGAAATACAGCGTCCCCGTTTTGTTGGGAGACTACAAGGGCCATAGTCTATAATAATCTCACTGGTCAGAATTTATAACATTCTTTGCTACTAACTTTGCAGTAATCATATCTTGCCACATGGTATTTTTAATTGTCCTGTGTTACTTAGCTTTTCATGTGTTTGTCTTATCTCCTAACTCGATTTGTAATTTCCTTAAGGGCTGGCACCATTAAAATTTTTTTTTGGCCGGGCTCGTTGGCATGCCTGTAATCCAGCGCTTTGGGAGGCCAAGGCGGGTGGGTTACCTGAGTTCAGGAGTTCGAGACCAGCCAGGCTGACATGGTGAAACCCCGTCTCTACTAAAAATACAAAAATTAGCCGGAGGTGGTGGTGCCTGCCTGTAATCCCAGCTGCTTGAGAGGCTGAGGCAGGAGAATCGCGTGAACCTGGGAGGCAGAGGTTGCAGTGTGAGCCAAGATCTTACCACTGCACTCCAGCCTGGGCAACAAGGGCAGAAACTCCATCTCAAAAAAAGAAATTTTTTTTTAAACTTCTCTAAGAATTTAATAGTCATCCCTGTTTTTCATAAATGCCCATTAAGTGCCCGTTATATGCCTAAATCTGTGCTAGACAGACCAAGGTGGCTGAAAGAAATTAGGAGTACTGTTTGGCACATGGTTGGTACTTTTTTTTTCTTTTTTGAGACGGAGTCTCGGTCTATAGCCCAGACTGGAGTGCAATGGCACGGTCTTTGCTCACGCAACCTCCGCCTCCCAGGTTCAAGCAATTGTCCTGTCTCAGCCTCCCGAGTAGCTGGGACTACAGGCGCCTGCCAGCACGCCTGGCTAATTTTTGTATTTTTAGTAGAGAAGGGGTTTCACTATGTTGGCCAGGCTGGTGTCGAACTCCTGACCTCGTGATCTGCCCACCTTGGCCTCCCAAAGTGCTGGGATTATAGGCGTGAGCCACCATGCCTGGCCATTATTTAATATATTAGTCATTTTCGATTTTTTTTGGTGGGGGGACAATACTTAATGTGGAAACTGACTTTTTAGTGTTTGGTAACAGATAATGTTTGTTTATTTTTTTTGACAGGGTTTCACTGTCACCCAGGTTGGAGTGCAGTGGCGTGAGCTTGGCTCACTGCAACCCCTGCTTTTCATGCTCAAGCGATTTTCCCACTGCAGCCTCCTGAGTACAGGGGTGCCACCATGCCAGGCCAATTTTTGTAGGTTTTTTTCTTTTTCTGATAGTTTATGAGATGGGGTCTTGCTATGTTGCCCAGGCTGGTCTTTAACTCCTGGACTCAAGCAATTTGTTGGACTCAGACTCCCAAAATTTTGGGATTACAGGGGTGAGCCACCACATCTGGCCATGGTGAATGTTTAGATGTTAACTTTTTTTTTTTTTTTGAGACGGAGTTTTACTCTTGTTGCCCAAGTGGAGTGGAGTGCAATGGTGCAATCTTGGCTCACTGCAACCTCTGCCTCCTGGGTTCAAGCAATTATTCTGCCTCAGCCTCCCAAGTAGCTGGGATTACAGGTGCGTGCCACCACGCCCGGCTAATTTTTTGTATTTTTAGTAGAAACAGGGTTTCACCGTGTTAGCCAGGCTGGTCTCAAACTCTTGACCTAAGGTGATCTGCCTGCTTCGGCCTGTCAAAGTGCTTGAATTACAGGCGTGAGCCACTACACCCAGCCTAGATGTCAATGTTTTGTCAAGCATTGTCAGGTTCATTTTATGGAATGATGCTTGATTGGAAATGGACATTTATGTGGTACAACACTAGTATGAAGTATGATTTGGGTTCTCGTGGATGGCACATAAACTTAATATGTTGTAAATATTTTTATGAAATCCCTTAACATGATCTCAGTGCCTTCTATTGCAGTATATGTACCTGGAACATTTTGTACACAAATTGTGATTAAGTAATTTTCCACCAGTAGATTATCATAGTAGGCACTTGGCTGTGACAGAAATTTGTAATCAATCAGGCTCTTAAAATCTCTCCTTTTTGGGCCAAATTTGTGGTAAGCCAAGACTAGATCTTTTCCCAGTGGTTTTATAATCACTTTAATGTATTACATTACTGTTCTTAGCTGAAATTTCTAAGAATGTTTTTCTGTCAGAAAATTTAATAAGGAATATTTAGCATACATAGATGTTGATTTTGCAAATAGTTTAATACTAGATTTATGATTGTTAAGAGGAAATTAGAGTAGTATAGTTGTTTAGCTGCTTTTGTAACACTTGTGCAACTTTAGTTTCAACTTCTTGCTGAGGTAATTCTAGCTAATAGATTTCTTTTTGTTAGCTTATTATAAAAGTAATATTTGCTCATGTGAAAATTGCAATTGACATAAAATTTGAAAATACTGCCTTCCTTCCTCATTATTCTACTGTGTATATTCTTTCTAAGTTAAAGGTTTTTAATTGAAATCTTAGAAAAATATAAAAATGTGATTATGTTGATGTTGAAATGAAAAGGGGCCTGCTTACTAGAAGAGGAAGGAAATTACAGTTTTAATTTTTTTTTTTTTTTTTTTTTTTTGAGACAAAGTTTTGCTCTTGTTGCCCAGGCTGGAGTGCAATGGTGCGATCTCGGCTCACCACAACCTCCACCTCCCGGGTTCAAGCTGTTGTCCCGCCTCAGCCTCCCAAGTAGCTGGGATTACAGGCATGTGCTACCACGCCCAGCTAATTTTGCATTTTTAGTAGAGATGAGGTTTCTCCATGTTGATCAGGCTGGTCTTGAACTCCCAACCTTAGATGATTCGCCTGCCTCAGCCTCCCAAAGTGCTGGGATTAAAGGTGTGAGCCACTGCGCCTGGCCAATGGTTTTTTTTGTCGTTGTTGTTTTGTTTATTTTTAAGAAGTGAAGCTTAATACAATTTGTTAAGAATATTTTGTTTTCCTTTTGTATTAGAATCCATCATAACAGCAGTATGGTTGTATGATTTCATAGTTGATGCATCATTTATAGAATATTTCAGATTGTAATGGTAGATTTCTTATGTCATGGCTTATATCATAACCACTCTTAAGTAACTTAGAACAGTGACTAAAACTTGAGCATGTTTCAAAATCTCCTGGATCACCTGGAGAGCTTGTCAAAACACAGATTGTTGGAGCTTGAGAATTTGTATTTCTAACAGATTTGTAAATGGTGCCAGTGCTGGTCCAGGGACTACATATTCAGAACCAGTAACATGTAGAATTGAAAATTATGAGGTTGAATTCTGCCAGCATTTCAGCTAAATCAGTTTTATGCTTTAGAATAATGTTTTAGAAAAAGCCTATAGCAGTCTTGCCCTATAGAGTGCTTGGTGATGTTCTCTATATTGTCCAGTGTGGTAGCTACTAACTCCGTGTGGCATTTAACATTTGAAATGCGGACAACTGAAGAACTGAAATTCGATTCTTTTTTTAAATTAACTTAATGAAATAATCACATGTATCTAGTAGTTACCATATTGGACAGCACAGGTCTCTAGAAATGAAAAGTACAATTATTTTATGATTATGGACTGGTAATGTGCTCATGAAACAAATTAGCTTAATTTAAAACAACTGTGAGCCTGCTTAATCCAGGGAATGTGACTGTTTAAATAATGTTTATATTAAAGTTAACTTCCTACTTGTATTTAGATAATTTCAAGCCATGGTAAAATTTAGGAAGATAGCCAGAGTAGTTGAGGTGATGTTCAGGAGCAGGGGTATTTAAACCAGAGGGTTTGTGGGAGGTTAACTTAATGGATAGGCTTCAAATGCTATACAGTAGTCCCTCCCTTATCCCATGGTTTTGCTTTCTGAAGTTTCAGTTACCCCAAGTCAACTGAGGTCTGAAAATATTAAATGGAAAATTCCTGAAATAAGCAATTCATGAGTTTTAAATTGTGTGCCATTCTGAGTAGCATGAGGAACTCTCTGGATGTCCCACTTCATCCTGCCCGTGACATGAATCATCCCTTTGTTCAGCATATCCATGCTGTCTACACTACCTGCCCGTTTGTCACTTAGTAGCCTATTTGGTTAGCAGTGACTGTCACAGTATCACAGGGCTTGTGTCCAAAAAATCCTTATTTTACTTAATAATGGACCCAAAGTGCAAGAATAATGGTGCTGGCATGTAATTATACTTGTTCTATTTTATTATTCATTATTTTTG